CTTGTCTGTTCCTCGGTTCGTCTCTGTCTTTGATGTTAGTCAGTAACTGACGTATTGTGGTAATAGGTTTGTAAGCGACGCAAATATTGAATGGTTTTAGGATGCGTGAGATGTTCTCAGATATGCCCTTTATGTATGGTATAGTGGCTGTGGTCGTATGAGTTGCGTCGTCGTTAGCTTCGGTAGTAGTAGGTCTGTGAGTGTTACGTTGAATAAAGTGATTATCTCACAGCTGGAGCTTGGGCCACCTGTGGCTTGGTGGCAACTTCAAGATCGGCTTGAAGTTTTTCGACAAAACCACATTGGTGATGATGGGTCGGAACCCAATCTGGATCGTAACGATCCCACAGTTTAGCCGTTTTTCTGGAGATAAAATGTTTACCACAGACCTGACCCCGATTCAAAACGTTGTTTGTGAGGTCTTCCCTACCGATCGCAGAAATCCATTTGTTTCGCCTCTCCTTGGAAAGTTTCCGTACTTCTTCTCCTCGATTAGTAATAATTGAAGGTATCCTTGCCATATTAATTCCATTATCACGACCACTTCGGGTCACACAGCCAAAAATCGCCCGTAGAACCATTTTTTAAATCATAAACACAACTCGTGGTCGTATGTTTACAGGCAAGGGAAGTGCACCAATATGGCGGCCAATTAGGAGGAGGTCACATGACTGAAAACGATCTATATAACAAAAATCCTCTTGTTCTGATTAATTTCCACTGAACGTTCAGTTAATATTTGTAACTTGTGAACTTTGAATACAATTGATTTCCGGCGTTGAGTTAAATTCGTCTCGAAAAAAACAAAAGCGAAACCCTTCTCTCCACCCGCTGTACGACCGTAAGGTAATTTTGTTACTCAGTCTTAGATTTACCTTTGGTTAAGAGCGAAAATCCCATAACGTGACTACAGAGATGTTTAAGCTTGCTGGTAATGTTAGCTATGTGGCCTGTTCTGCCAAACTTATCCTCCATCATCGGACCGGTTTGTAATTCAATAGGTGCAATCATCTGTGAAAGAAAGTAATTAATTAATTCGTCGAAAGTAGCAAGTAACGCTTTTCAAACTATTTAGTGTTTTCCAAAATAGCATTTTCCGTGAAAAATAGACCTTTTAAGCATATTTTTCATATCGATTCCGCAAAATATCGTGCTTATTTTAACCCATAACATGTTTAAGCGGTTTTTTTTTCCTTTTCGTTTGACATGGTATCACAAACTGTAATGCAGAAATTCTGCATAGTGTGGCGTCTAATGCTGCAGAAATTCTGCATGGTGTGGCGTGTAATGCTGCAGAAATTCTGCAAGGTACGATGTTAAATGCTACAGAAATTGTGCAAAGTTTGACGGCCTAAGCGTGCAAAAATTCTGCACGCCTTGACGTCCAGTACTGCAGAAATTCTGCATGGTATGGCGTCCAATGACGCAGAAATTCTGCAAGGTTTGACGTCCAGAGCTGCAGAAATTCTGCACTCCTTGACGTCTAGTGCTGCAGAAATTCTGCACGCCTTGACGTCCAGTGCTGCAGGAATTCTTCACGCCTTGACATCCAGTGCTGCAGAAATTCTGCACGGTATGAGGTCCGCAGCAGCAGAAATTCTGCAGGCAATGAAATCCTGAGTTAAAGAAATTTTATATGTTGCAAGGTCAATACTGCAGAAATTCTGAGTCGTTGCTTTTCTATTCTCAAAAAAGACAAATTGTAGAGGGCCCACGCGTACCAACAGTCTCGATCAGTTTTCTTTTTATGCTTTTTCTATTTTTCAGTGATCATAGTTGAAATAACAATACTGTGCATACTGATGTTTTTTTTTTTCTTTTCTCCCCTACCCCGCCCCCTACCCCCACCGTCCACTCTAACTGCAAATCAAAAATGGCCGGTCGAACAAACGATCGCGAGCTTTTAGCGTTAGCTCGCACTAACAAGACGCCTGCATTGCAGGCTAGGGCGCAATTAGGAGCGGCGAAGAGAAAGTCACAAACAACGACATTTCTGTCTGAGGTTTTCACGCCTTCAAATCAATTAAGAATTTGACATTCTCCCGTGAGTACTAATCTTATCAACTTAAAGCTTCCTTGATTCTTTCTCGAGCTCGTTAACTGTTCGAAATGCCTTGAAATTGTAAGGCCTTGTCCACACTAAACCCTTTGAATCTCAGAAATTTGAGTTTGTTTTTTTAACTATACTAAAGAAATAGATCTATTTTTCTTCGTCCGGGCGGGCGATAAGTACACTGGCGGCACATTGGGCATGTACTAAATTATGGTTAATTATAAAAGTAAAGAGCCGCGACGCCGGCGGTTTTGAAAAGCACCGATTTCGCTCAATGAATACTGACCTTCGCAGACTTAGAGCTCACGGTAGGCCTAGTAAAAGATATGAAGTCTCCATTCGTTTGCATCATATACCTAATCGGCGAGCAAAGGGTTAGTATTTCGATTAGAACTCGTAAGCTGTGCACTGTGCAATTTTACCAACAAGGGACAAAAGTCCCTTCAACCTATTGTTTTACAAACCACCAACATCCGCTCGTAACATCCTAATAATCGTAGAATTGGGCTTTAGTCAGTTTTTTTTTGCTATGCACTCTTGTCAGACTCTGGGTGGAGTTGACTTGTATCCATCGAACAAAAATATATCAACCGATGATGGCGAGCACACCGGAAACATATCCCAGTTCTACAAGCCATGATGATTTTTATTATTCGGGAATCACCACCAGAGGAAAGACATCCCAATGAAGATCAGTGGGTTGACTTCGATGACTCAAAAAATTCTTTGAATGCAGGATCTTTCATGTATGGAGAAATAATTCCGGATTTAGAGAGTCAATTAGAAATTGAAGGTATTGTTAAAAACACCTGAATACAAAGTATTGCAAGCAGTCAATTCAGTGTCGATAACTTTTCAAATTTCAAGGTCGATAAGAGGTCGGAAGTATGAAAGTGTGACAGGTAACGCGAACTTCAGTCGTAATGTATCGTAACGATAAATGCAATTTAGTGTTATCAACTGAGTTGATAACGTAAATTGGCCACTGTAAAGAGTTTAAAGGCTAACTTTTCGAGCGTTCGCCCTTCGTCAGAGCGATTGGGTAACGATAAATATAGAGCGATTAGGTAACGATAAATGGTCTGAGTGAAACTTTGCTCTTGTCTTCGAAACTGTGAACTATACTTTCATTTCACTTTGCCCAAATGTGATTGATTAACCTGATGATCAGAGAGAAAAGACAAACACAAATTTCTTACCTTCTAGCCTCTGCGTTAGTTATAAGCTGGACGCGACGATTCAGCTTTCCACCAAAGCTCCTTGATTATTAACAACTTGCGATTTAAGTGACAGCTAAGCAACCTATAAACATCATTAATGCAAAGTGAATTCAGTGAAACTAATTTGGGAAAAATTTCCGCACAGCCCCATACTTTATTATGCATGCACATCTTATTGGTTTTGCACTGAATAATAAATCCTCATATATGGATGCATGATGAAGTATGGGGTTGTGCGGAAATTTTGCCCTAAAAGCTCACTTCATGTATTTTCCAAGACTGACCGCTTGCAACTCTGCCAGCTAGTTCAAACACGTACATATGTAACAGCGAAAGCAATTTTTGAAGGAAGTATCACGGTTATTTTAGATAATGAGTAACACGTTCTGGCATGATTTTGATATTACGTGACAATGTTTATGCAACAGGTAAAAACCCTTAATCCATCACAAAACAAGGTAAATAAAAATTTACCTTTTTAATTTCAGTTAAGTGCAATCTGATCACTAACCCTATGTCGAGACAAGGGAAACTCCCAAAAAAAATCAAAGCAAAGTTTTAACATGATAAGAGAGACCAAAATTTCGAAGTCGTAACTCCAGCTGAGCACCTTTTACGCGTTCGACGGCGAAGGATGAAAACAACAGGCTTGAACTACTCAAGCAGTGTTTGGTCTTCAGCGGCTCCTACGCCAATGATCTATGATGTTCTTTATCATTATTATCCAGATTGAAACTGCGTACCTATTCATCCCTTTCGAAACTTTTATGATCAGGGATTCGTTCACATGTTATGTCGAATTCATGTCACTTTTATCGAGCCGCTGTATTTATCAGCAGCAGAGGGAAACTTAGCTGTAACAGCAATAATGGTAGATTTAAAATTGGCGTTGTGCTTCATATCGGATCCCTCGGCGATCGACCAACAAACAAAACGAATCGTTTCATCGACAAACTGAGCTAGTATGCTTTTTAACACAAATAGCCAAGTGCTGAAATTGCATTAGCTGGGCAAGCTGGTTTTCGTGCATTCGAAGTAGCCGTGCTATTCAGCTCGATTGACACCACATGACGTTTCTTACCTTCCCACGCAGATGGCCGCTTCGGAACGTGCAGTAACAAATTCTGGTTCGGTTGCTTGGCAGATCGAACCAGAATGATTACTTCTTCATGTTAATGTATCTTTGTTCGGAAGGGAATCGAAAGAAAACATGCTTCCATGAGCAGTTTGGCTAGCCCAAATAATTGGGCGGTAGATGGTCACCTGTCACCATATCACGTGAACGAAGTTTGTTTACAAGCTCTTATCGATTGACCTGTTAAAAACAATGCTTTCAGCCACTGGCATTGTTCCGCAGCTTGGTCTGTTTGTTCATTGTACCTTTTCCCCCTTGGCATTAATCTTCATTGAGTTACACATTTGCTCTGATCAGAAACAACCAAATTCAAACCGTTAATTTTCGATCAGACACAGCTGATAAATAGGCCATAATATACGATGTTTCATTGTCTTCTTAGTCTTGTTATAATCTAATGTTCAATGCATTCGCCCGCAAGTCTTTGATCGTCAAGCGCAGCGAGAATTTGGACATCTATGGGTGGAATGAAGAAACATCGATCGTGGAGATCGAGCAAGTCATGGATCCAGATAAGTAGAACGTATTGAAATAAAAGGATGATAGCCAACATTAAATATGAGTTTTCGTTTCTTCCAATTTCGACAATTCATGCCAAACGCATTCGAGTATACAGTTGTGCTAATTCGACCGTTGATGTAAAATATGAAAATGTTTACTATGCAAATTGTGTTTTCATGATTCCTTAATATTGTCGGAACGACTCAGTCACTGGATTAATATATGAGTTTAACTGTCACGTTATTTGAGAAACTTGTGTCTCCGTTCTTTAAGTAGAGACTAAAAAACCTTTAATTAAACTTATAGAAAAGCAGTAATGTTCGTTTGCACCTTATGCTTCAGCACGGCCTTTTGAAAAAGAAATAGGACCAGAAGAACCTCTGTTTTCAAAATTGCATGAAAAAGATAAACTATATTGTACAGTATGTACTGGATCAGGATATCGTCTGAGCAGACAGGAAAATCATCGTTTCAAAACTTAAACGGCGGCTTGGGTGGTTTTGGGATCGCTCGTGGAAAGTTCGAAAATATGGTGGCACCTAGTACCCCTTGAATTATGAATATAGACAACTGAACACAACATTATCTCTCCTTTTAGCCTGTCACTGTTTATTCTGAACCTATCATGATAGGTTCAGAATAAACCGATGGTTCAACGAATGAAGAGTATGAATGTCGTATAGATGTAGTGTATAACATTAAAGAAATGCAGTTCACGCGGTAAATTCCGTAATCAGCAGAAATGAGCTTTGGTGTAAACTACATGACTCATATATCCTGAACAGTAAGTAACAACCTCTAATCACAACGGAAACGATGAAAAAATCAAGAAAAGAAATTCTTACCTAATCCGCAAACAATGTTTGTCTTTGCGTCAGCGGAAAAAGTTTCTCTGTTAAAGTTTCTGGTGAGCTTGAATTCCTTTTATTCTTCGTTGACAGTTGGCAGCAGAATCTGAGATTCACGAAAGATCGAGTGCTTCACACTTACGGATTTAAAAATATAAAATTCAACCTTAACTTTTAGCATTTAAGGTTTGAAACTGACCAAAAGCTTTCTTAACATTACAGGTTTCTATTTCAAAGCTTGGACGCGGAACCTTTATTGCCAAATTCGCAGAATTCGTTTTAGGATGAAAAAAGACTACGGGTAAATACCCTGGTATTTGTTGTTTGACGCCTGTCGCGCCTGTCTCGCGGCAGGAGCAAACATACTTGTGCAAACAGGAAAAAACCCCTAATCATAATCTGTAACCAGACGACTTTGCAGAAATCTATACCAAATCTTAAAATCTTGATAATCACGAGCGATTTAGTGAAAGGACACATGAGCCAAAAATTGAATTTGTCTAAGAACCTTAGGAGGTCACGAGAGTAGGTATCAATGATCACCAAAGAACTGAGAGGAAGCGATCACTTTTTGCAGTTTCCTTTACTCCACTGAAAACCTACCCCTAGTACCTACTTTCTTTGCCATAAACTGAGTTATATGTAAGGTTAGTAAGCTTAGGATCCCCTTTTACAACGTAGAGAAAAAACTGGAATTAGACTATCTCTAATTTGCAAGAATTCAATGCCTTCATTCACCATGGCGGCTTTCATCTTCGAGACTGTTATCAATGGAGACGTTGTCAATGAATACCGCGTTCGCTTCGAAACCTAAGAGATCGAAAAGTGACCATTGTGGTATATTTCTAGGCTGCTTATCTTGGACAAAGGTATGGTAAGGTCGCCCCTTACACTGTTATTTACATCGTACCTACCGGACAATGGCTCGACTTGAAAATTGAACCAGAACAGTTACTTCTTTGTATTTGATGAAATGCGGTGTAGAAACCTCGCTACAACTTAAATGACTAGAAAAAGACGGCACTGGCTTGATTTCCGTCCAAGCTGGACTCAAGAGCGTGACATGGCTCAATGTTTTCTCAAGTCACGTGATAACTTCCCGCAGCTTTTTTATTTACAATAAAATACGATCGATTTACAAATGCAGATAAATTGATTCTGTCTAAACCTTCAGACTGACCGATGTGGAGGTAGTATAGGAGTTGGCGGTAAGAGATCACAAAGGGATCGCCTACAAAAGCGCCTACTCTCTATACATATCTGCTGCTATCATATTATGGAAATTATTCGACGAAATCATTTGATGAAATTGTTTGATTAAATCATTTGAAGAAATCACGCTCAAGAGCGTGACATGGCTCAATGCTTTCTCAAGTCACATCATAACTTCCCCTATCCTTTTTTTTATGATCGATTTACAGATAAATTGATTCTGTCTAAAACTTCAGACTGACAGAAGTGGAAGTAGTATAGGAGTTGGCGGTACGAGAGCACAAAGAGATCGCGTACAAAAGCGCCAACTCTCTATACATATACTATTCCATATTATGGAAATTATTTGACAAAATCGTTTGATGAAATTGTTTGATGAAATTGTTTGATGAAATGATTTGATAGAATCATATGATGGAATCATTTTATAATATCAAAGTGTTGGAATACTACATTTATTTTTTATATTACAGGGGACCAGCGATATGATCCCACTGCAATTTTCCATTGCGTGACATTCTCAGAAAAACAGGATATCAATAACGCAACGTAACATGTCGCCTTGTACTCGTCCACTTTTGAATAGAGATAGAGGAAGAAGGAGAAGAGATAGATTCGCCCACGAAAATGGGAAAATGAGTTGCTTTTATTTTTCTATAATTTCAGTATCTTGTTGAAGTTTGTAGATATCTTCTTCGCTTTAGAAATATTTCGGTCCGATGATTTATCTCACCTTCCTATTTGTTTTGTCATAACACGAATGGGCCGCAAACTTAGAACTCTTGTGTGAAGCCACTTGTCTATAAAGCATGCTTAGCACGGTTTTCGGTTCAACTGTTTTCAATACTAGAGAGACATACAACTAATTTTATAATGATGTCATGCTCCCTTTTTACAATAACTCAAATTAAAATTGCTTTTTTTTTTTTAAGTAGTTAAAATAATTCTGCTCGTTCAATTGCAACAATTTTGGTTCTGAAAAACCAAATTTCTTTGAATATGAGATACCAACAGTGAGTTCCCTGGGAGTGACAAGGTCTATTTTACAAAGTGCTCCCTACATCTTCTCGGAACTGTTGATTTTGTCATGGTGTGTCATTCCTAAGTCACACAATTTACATCCAACCAGACGTCGCCACTCGATCATGAGCGAGATCTTTCGGATTAATTGTGACCTCATTTAAGACATAATATATTAAGTCAGTCGTCTAAAAACCTTGCAGACTTTGTGTTTTAATTAGAGAAACAATACATGTTTATTAAAAATTGTTTGGTAAATCAAGGTTTACCTGAAGAAAGGAAAACCCCTTCTAAGAAAGTTCTATTCATAACATATTTGCCACGGAAGACTTTGGCCATGTATTAACCTGATCTGTTTACTTCAGTTTGCTCTCTTTACAGCCGGATCACATTTCGAAAGTGGAAAAGCCCGGGTTATCTTTCGTGAAACGGAAAACTTTAATTATCTATTTTTATCACTTTTGTTACGTCTGCTCGCTGAATTGCATGATTAAACCTCACTCGAGCATGGGCCGCCTGTAGATTTGTTTACTTTACATTTACATTCGAGAGTGAAAGTGCCTGAGGAGCATCTTGGTAGGGGCTTTTCTCTCGCGCTATCGTTTGTGAAACTGAAAACTTCAGTTTATAATCTTATCATTCTGCTTCGAACCTTACTCGATACTCTCGCACGGCAACGTCTCCCACTGAGTTGACAGCATCACTTTGGTTACGTTTGCTCGCTGAATTGCATGATTAAACCTTTGAAACATTCATACCGAAAAAACCTTGAATAGTTATTTGCATTCAATCTCAGACTGTCGCTCTTTAGCTATTGAAGGTTTTCCGCTAACGAGACTTCGAAACCTGCAGACTTGGCATAACTTGGAACTTATCAACTGCTTGAATTGGTTATCTGATAGAATGATTGTATTATGTACTTGAACGAAATTTGCATGCGCATACAGCGAAGATCTCAAAATTCAGACAGTCCCTGAAAAATTTCATATCGTTTCCCCGATCTTTGAACATACAGCTAATGTCAACGAACAACCAAGGGTCTTTAAGTCCATGCTACCCTGAATGCAGATGAAAGTTCTATGCATATGGCAATTTCATTTTAAAATGTGATTAGACAATGAAGTGATGATCGGCGCAAAGTTGACACATCATTTACCATTGTTTAGTTAAATTAGCTTTGATGTCTGGATTTAGATTGAAGTTTTCTTTGAGAGTAGTGATGATTGATTCGTTCTCAAAAGTGCTGTACTTTCGTTTTCTGTGTCAAATAATATTCTGTTTGAGAAAGCTGTTTTAAGTCTTGTCACGAGCGTGGGACAAAGAAAAAGTTCTGAGTCCTCATGAGGAATCGAACCTCAGACCTTCGGATTCCGCACTCCAATGCTCTAACACTGAACTATAGAGACTGTACGGTTAGCGAGGTCTATTACGAAGTTCATATGACAAGTCAAGCGTCCTGTATACTGCTAGGATCAGCAGTGTCGATAGCGTCATGTTTGTAAATAGAATAGGAGAGATCGTAAGTTTTGAGCTCGGTAAAGTAATAGAACTCGGTAGAGAAATGGAGAAATATTTCGACACTTCCCGCTATATAATATGCAAATCGAAATACTCTCAGAGTAAATTGAACATTTTTCAATAAAAAGCGCAATTTTGCTAAAAATCACTCAAAGCAATAATTTGGTGAATATTTTATGATATTGGCCGGAATTTTTTTCCTAAGTAAGTCGCCACTCATAAACAAAAAGCTCCCATAAAGTATCGATGCCGATATCTGACAACTTTGACAACAAAGGTGTCGTCAATAAAGAGAGTAAGGCCAATATTGCCCCCCCTTCCCCATAAATAATAAGAGGCTTTGGAGTAATTAACTCGCTGCGATTTTCTTGTTTTTG